CCCCCGCCCTCTCCGTACTCCCTAACTTCCCACCTCTCACCCTCCTCCTCCTCGCTTCCTTCCCCTCTTCGCTTACCTTTTTACGTTTTCTTTTTAGAAGCGGGAAAATGGTCGCAGTTTGGAAGCTTGAAATAACTCACTCAGATGTAAATCCATTTTGCAAATATTAAAGAAATTTTCATGTAGTTTTTGAAGGGATTTAAAAGGCAGTTATATGAGTTCTTAAGAAAGATTTCTAGCCATAAACATTTAAAAACTAATACAGTAGGAAGTTTTTATGTTTATAAAATTAATGTCTATGATATTTCTGAGCGTTAAAACAATTCTTGTGCAAAAAAACGAAACATATTTGAGGCGTTAGGATGAAAATTTTGCGCTTTTTTGTTGAATTGAAATAATATTTTTGTTAAGATAAAAATTTATTTCTAGAAGGAAGCAAATGTTGAATCGGCTATTAATTTACTGAATAAAACACTGGAACAGAATGATATTACATTCACAGTTTTGGATGGACAACGCAAAACGGTATGTTGATTTTTTCGTTGTTCACTTTGTAATTTACACAGAAAAGTGTGGAAGTTTTATCGATTCGTAACAGTTGAAAATGACCGAAAAATTTATGCGTAAATCAGATTTTGCCACAATTTTTTCGTGCTAACTTGTTTAATGCATTTGACTAGCCCATCATTTCCAGGCGCCCTTAGTTGTTTTCGATATCCGTACGGAGAGATATACCCAACATATCCGTACGAAGGGATATACCCCCTATTTGAGATACTCTTTATGTCTGTTGAATAGCAGCATCCACTGCCAGAAGCTGACCTGCGGTCAGTCTTGGTGATGGTCAGAAGCAAATCTCCCATAAAACCGTGACCTATCCCCTTTTACATGTGCATACATACATATTTATACAGTTTCACCACTCCACCGTCATCATGGGCGAATCCAGGGCGGTCTTCTGGGCGAGGGGGAGGGGTGGGCGATTTTTTACCTCACTTCTTCCTTCGTCACCCCTCCCCCCTGCCCTCCCCTTCGGGCAGCTTCCAACTCACCCTTCACTCGCTGCACAGCATCCGTCCCTCCCCTTCGAACGTCTCACTGCCCCCCTCCCTCCCTCCCCCCCTCTTCCTCGTCCTTCCTCGAAGGCTTCCCCCCCCCCCTTGGACCCGCCAATGACCGTCATGGGTTTATGGATTTCGAAGCGAAGTGGAATACCTCAGCCTAGTCTGACCGTAAATTTAGAGGGTAATAGCGTTACATAGGGATTTTTTAAGTTTGAGCTTATATGAATTTGCTTTTATCCAAGGGCGGATCCAGGGCGGCCTCTCAGGAAGAGGAGGGGGAGGGAAGGAATGAGGCTCGTGGGTGGGGAGGGAGCAACCGGGGGTGTGGAAGAGAGTTTTCTACAGTTTTAGTGCTGCTACCTGTGCCGCTGAGGAGGGGGGGGGGGTTTCCTCCTCTCCCTCTCCTCCCCCCGTATCGGCCTATGATTTTATCTTGTTTTTTTTTTTTTTGTGTTTTTTTTTCCAATCAGAATGTTTATCACAGCGTTTTCCAGGAGCTGAAGCTATCAAAAGCAAGTTTGGGTGCTATTCCGTCGACTTGGGGTCCAATGCCAGCGCCAGCCCCGTCGTTTCGTGGTTACACCGGTGGATCGATGTTCGTACTGGGCTTTTTCATGCTTCTGCTCGGGGCAGCAATTGGAGTTGGCGTGGTTTATTTTGTCTGGAAGCGGCAACATCTCGGCAGTCTTGCTTATCAAGTTTTCGAATAAAAATTCTCCTTTTCTTTCACTTATTTTTTCGAGGGTTGCTCAACAATAAGCCTTATGATGTGTACAGAATTCCTATACGAGTAAAAATTGTTTTTGCAATTTTTTGAAAAAATAGACAAAAAAGCGAAAAAAATATTAAAAAAACGAGCTGCTGTAAAAATTTTTTTTATTAATTTATAACTTTTTTTAGTCAGGAATAAAAGGCGTTTTGAAGGAATAGATGTTTTGGATAAAAATTTTTTGCTCGAATTTCGTAAAATTCTAAAAAAAAAACCTGATTTTCGAAAATATCGATCTGCTGCCAATTTAAAAACTTTTATAATTTCCTTTTTTACCAATAGAAAGTAATTTTCATAAAAAAGAAGGTGATTTTCCTCCGTTATATCTTTGATTTTTTTCTTTGTAATAGATCAATAAATAAATTTAAATTCATTTTTTGCTGACCAATTTTTGAACAAAAAAAAATATATTTTTTGCGATTTCGATTTTTTTTTTTGATATTTTTTTGAATCCAATTTGACTCGAAAATCGGTTTTTTTTAGGGCGGATTTTTCAGTTCTGATATAACTAAGGTTGGGATAAGTGGATTGGGTTTAGTTTTTCGAAAAAGATTGTTCTTTCCCATGCATATTTTTTGTTAACACAACATTTTTATATTTTCTACGCATGCTGATGGACCAAAGGCGAGTTGAGTTCGCTTAATTTCGTGTTTTTCCTGAAATTTCGCGAAATTCTTAAATTTAGTAAACTATGTCCTAGCATAAGTTTCCGGTAATAATTTTTTACAGCCTTATCTGTTAGGATTCTTAGATCGTAGAAAGTTTAGGCATTGTACAGCATAAACTCAGAGATCTGATCCCTTTCCCGTATTCGCTTTCTACAGAAGGCCTGAGCATTTGGGAAGTAGTAGGAAGTGCCAACAGCAACCGCTCAGTGGTAAAACTGTTTGATGCATAGGCGTGGGAGAGGGGGGGACTGTGAGGGGTGCGGAAGAGAGTTTTCTTCAGTTTTAGCTTTAGACCCGAACTTTTGTGGCACTGGTGCTTTTGCCCTTGGGGGAAAGGGGCAAAAGAGCCATCGCCCCCCTCCCCTCTTGAATCCGCCTATGGTTCGTACTACTTCTGCGAGCCTACCATTCGTACTACTTCTGCGAGCTTTCTAGTCCCATAGGAAAGTGAATGCGAAATAAAAATAAAAGTTATTTCGGTTTTTTTTTCTTAAAATTATATTTTCAGAATTTTTATAAAAAAAATCTTGATGAAATTTGGGTTTTCAAATTTAATTTTGATGGAATTTCATCATAATTTCCGCTTCTTTTTTTCCCCTTTTTTCTTCGATTGCCTGTTTTCTGTTTTCCGACGGGATTTTTTTTTTCATTCTCTGCAATATGTTCTCCTTGTTCCAGAGGCATATCATTTATAATTATTTCTCCAGCGAGTTATCATTTTTGTGATTTTTTGCTAAGATATTATTGGCTTGCAGTATTCATGTTTTTGTTGTTTCCTAAAAAAAAATCCACAAATATTTTTTGCGAATGGTGTTCATGATTAATTAAATTGTTGAATTTTGTGCAAAATTTTCGAAAATTTGAGAATTTTCGAAAAGAATAGTAAAAATACGATTCTTTCATAGTTTGGGAGGGAGACTGCCTTCCTTTCTGTTTTCTGAGGCAAATCCTCGCCTGGTAATCGTGAGGTTCATCTGGCTTCAACCCTTCTGGGCCGTTGTTTTTCTAGGTTCCACCCTCAGTGGGGTTTTTTTCAGCCTGAAACCCTATCCTCTTTTTTGGAACTTAGCTTTTTCATGGTCAACGTGTGGCCCTGAAGGAGGAAACTCCCCTTTTAGAGGCAAACCGTCCCTCAGTCTAGGAGGTTTTAGTTGCCCGCTGCTGTCCTCAATCTCTTCCCCCCAGATTTTGACCAGAATGAAGCTTCGGGCTCAACCTTTTTGTGGCCATCATGTGGTTGTTTCTCACTCTAATTGACTCGTAATCCCTCAGCTCCTCCCCCATCGCCCCCCGTACGACTCCACTGTATCCCCGTGCAGCCCCGGTACTTCCCCTCCAACCCTCCTCCTTCCCTCGGTTTTTGATTCCTTCGCCATCTTTGAGTTATAGTTGGAAAACGGTGCAATAGTCGAGTGTTTGTGTCATATATACTGTGTCCGTTGCATTACCGCGTTTTGTTTTCCACTTCGGCTCAACATTAATTATGCTCGTGTTTGTACTATAAAATTAAAGTTCTATTTACTCTATACTATATTCTGTGTTGCTTTAATGACACTACTGATAAAAATTGTTTCTTTTTTTGTCCAAGGATTTTGCAAGGCAACGGTAACAGGTTATAAGCCAGCATTAAAACTTTATGAACCTTTTTTTGCCGGGGAGGGGAGGGGTAGGCGCTGATTAGAAATGTATACGACTTAATGGATCGAAACATTCCTGTTCATCAGATTAATTATATATACACATGTGTATTTATGTGTATGTATGTACGTATGTATGTGTGTATGTATGTATGTATGTGTATATGTGTGTATGTATGTATATATGTATGTATGTTTGTATGTATTTATATATGTGTGTATGTATGCATGTATGTATGTGTATATATGTATGTATGAACGTATGTATATATGTGTGCATGTGTGTATGTGTATATATGTATGTATGTATTTATGTACGTATATGTATGTATATACGTATGTATATATGTATATATGTATGTATATATGTGTATATGTACATATGTATGTATGTATGTATGTATGTATGCATGTATGTATGTATGTATGTATGTATGTATGTATGTA